TGTTGGATTTTGTCAAATGCTTTTTCTGCATCTATGAAGGTAATCAAAAGCCTTTTCTGCTTCTATTGATATGATATGTGGTTTTTGACCTTGCTTATGTCTATGTGATGTACTGTACAGTATATAAGACTCACTTTGTCAGCTTATGAACAAATCTGACTTACAAATAGTTCTTCAGAAACAGAACTTATTCATAAGTCAGGGACTTACTGTATATTGAACCATCCTTGCATCTCTGGGATGTATGATATTTGGTCATGATGTATGATCTTTTTGATGATGTGCTTCATTCTGTTTGTTAATACCTTGCTTAAGATTTTTGCATCTATGTTTATTAAGAAGATTGGCCTATAGTTTTCTTTTTATCAGGATGATACTGAGTCCCGTAAATTAATTTGGGAGCACTTTATCCCTTTCAGTTTCTTTGAAAAGCTTGAGGAGTATTGGTGATATAGCATCCTTATAAATTTTCTAGAATTGAGTATTAAATCCATCAGATCATGGGCCTTTTTCAGTTTTTAGATTCCTTATTATTGTGTCAGTTTCATTGCTTGTTATTGGATTATTCAGCATATTTGTGTCTTCTTGGTAATTTATAATTCTGGGAATCTGTTAGGTTCTTCAAAATTTGACAGTTTGTTGAAATACAATTTTTCAGAGTAGTTACTGTCTTCTGGATTTTGACAGTGTCTGTTGTAATTTCAGTTTTTCATTTCTAATTGCATTGTTGTGAGTCTTTTCTCTTTCTTTTGATGAGTCTCACAAGGTCTTACCTATTTTTTTATGTGTTCAAAGAACCAGCTCTTTGATTCCTTGATTTTTTTTTTTAGTCTCAATTTCATTGTTTTCCACTCTAATCTTCATAATTTTCCTTCCTTAATTTTGGTTTGGACCTGGATTATTGTTGCTTCTCAAGTACCTTAAGACTCCTCATAAGGTTATTTATTTGAGCTTGCTCTGTTTTCCTAATGTGAGAGAGTCTACAGCAGAGAATGATTAGATTTGGAAATTGGCAAGTGGTGCTTTGGCTGTAGTACAGCATATGTGGTGTTATACAATAGAAGAGTTTTCAGACAACCCACAGAGGATTATGAATTCCAGGTGTAAGATTTTGGACTTCATTCTAGGACAGACTGAATTACCATTGAATATTTTATAGCTGAGACATGAAACATTAGAACTATGCTAGCAGCTAAATTTGAAAATAGGAAGTTCAGGAGGAGACTAGCCAAAATAATCTAAGCCTGAATAGGACAGTAATGGTGGAAGGGGAGAAGAAAACATGGATCTTAAATGAGATAATGTGTATCAAATCAAGAATACTTTTAACTATTCAAATAAGTCAAGAAAAGAAAAGAAAAAGTATGTCAGAGGTTCACAAGATTGCCTCAAGATTTTATGATTTACTGAGAGGGCTCATAGGACATGGCATATAATTTTACTGTGTTAAAATTTATTATGTAAAGAAAGTACAGAGCAAGATTGTCAAAGGAAAAAAGTGTATTGGATAAAGTCTGGAGGAAATCAGCTTATACTTTAAAGAATTCTATCCCAGTGAAGTCATCCTGAATGCTCTCAACTCTTCCAGCATCAAATTGTGAAATATTTATTAGAGACTTAAGGCCTAAGGAGTTTATTGGATGTTGTTATTTAGACCCTGTGCCTGGCATGTGCCAAAATTCCAGAGTTCCAGAAAGAATGTTGGTTCAAATTGCAAATCCCTAACTGGAGAGCTGGTTCTGTATAATCCATTCTTTTTGTATAGTTTAGACCAGTAATGGCGAATGTTTTAGAGCGTTCAGTGATAATGAACAGCCCGCTGTGGCACATGTGCCATAGGTTCACCACCACTGGACCCTGTAAGCCTCTAATCAGTCCTGGTAATAACCCTCCCAAAATACAGGATCCCAGGTGTCAACTGAAGTCCAATCTTGAAAGTAGCTTTTTCTAAAATAGGTAGTGTCAGGCCTACTATGTTTTTTACATAGATCGTCCCCCAGTTTTTGAGCCTGCCTAGATTAGGTAGATGATGATATTATTGTAGAGTTGAATCATATTGACAGATAACTTGGGGGAAAACAGCACTAATAATTTACTTTTTTGTTGTTGTTGTTACCGGGGATTGTACTTGGGACCTTGCGCTTGCAAGACAGGAGCCGGAACCACTGAGCTAAATCCCCGGCCCTACTAATAATTTACTTTTAACATACTGATTTTGACTCTTAGGTTGGCCATACATGTGGAAATGTTTATGAAATATGTAATGGAAAATAGAACTCTAACCAAAGAAATATCAAGGCAAGTGCTATAGATGGAAGTCATTCTGTTACTCTTATGGCTCCAACTATTTTTATCAAGTAGAAAAAAATATAGAGACTTAGAAAGAAGCCATGATATTGACAATATGAATTAAGAAAATAAGAAAGAAAAGAATACCTCATAATCAGGGAAAAAGAAAAACAAGCCCAAGCATTCTTTAAAAATCTAATATTGTAGATGAGGGTTTGGCAAATTGTGCCCTGTGAGCCAAATTGGGCCCACTGCATATTTTTGTAAATAAAGGTTATTGTAATACTACCACATTTATTTGTTGCCTATTATGGCTTTTATTACACCTAAAAGTAGAGCTGAATAGTTCCAATGGAAACTGTTAAGACTTACAATGTTTGCTATATGGCCATTTACAAAAAAAAAGTTTACCGACATCTAATGTAGATAACATAGACTAGGAAGTGAAAGTTCTTTCATTTTTCTGCAAGTTTTTTACTTAGAAAAATTTCAAACCTACAAAAAAAGATCAAAGAATATAATGATCACCTGTGTGCCGTTTATCTGGATTCAGTTATCAGTTTTGGTACATTTGCTTTATGTGTCTTTTAATACACAAACAACACACATACATATATATCTTTGCTGAACCATTTGAAAATTCATTGTATGCATCATGACATTTTGCCTCTTAAATACCTCAACATGTATTTTCTACAAATAAGGGCATTATTCATACATACCCGTAATTTCATTTTCTTTTATTTTTTTGGTACTGGGGATCGAACTTGGGACCTTGTGTTTGCGAGGCAGGCGTGCGAACCACTGAGCTAAATCCCTGGCTGTAATTTCATTTTCACACCTAAGAAATTAAAGAAAAGGTGTATTTGAGGGCATATAAATGATTCTTAGAAATAAAAGGAGTAATTCCTCTTAAATGAGAGAGAAGATTTTTGGAGTTGTCAGGGAACTTTGTGGTGGTGTAAGATAGAGAAAGCCTATTTTAAATTAATTCTTAGCTAAGTAGACAATGGAGGTCATTTGTAGAGGGGAGTGGAGAAAGGATCATAGGTGGAGATGTAATTGGGTGCAGAGAAATCAGAGTAAGTGCCTTGAAGACTGTTAGGAATGCAGTTTCTGATAATTATTACTAAATTTCTTTGTGATTCTAAAGAGTTCTCTGCTGTATATAAGCATTTGTTACATGTATATACATATAATAAAAACTATAATAGTATCATGCATATCAAACATTAGGAAAATGCTCTACAAGTTATTCTGACAAAGCAGCTGTTTGATTTTGTGTGATCTCCAGTTTCCCAAATGTATTTTATTACTGAATAATTTTTTCATGTTAAACTTGTTAATTGCAAAATATGCTTTGCTATTATTCAGCTTACTCTTGCAGGGTGTTCTAATTTCAAGAGCAAAAAACAGCTTCAGAGTAGAGGAGCCAGAAGCTGTTACTCCTTTGAGTCACTCAAAACTTGGAGAGATGTTAATCAGTTAATAACAAAATTAGTAATAGCAATCACTTACTGAGTACCAGTTGTATTATGTGTTGTGTCTTTGTGTTTTGGTTATTCCTCATAAACTTCATTTTCTCGGTGGCTAATGAAGAAATGGAGGCAAAGAAAGAGAAAATAACTTATCCAGCTAAATGATAGAAACATGATTGAAACACATATTTCATATTCCGAAGTCTTTCCTCCCCATAGCACAGAATGTTTTCCATATCCCTGCTTATAGTGTCCATTGGTTGCATGAAAGGAATAGTTTCCTGCCAGATAGCTGCTTAATTGTGACCATAGACATGTATATATTGTTTTTTAAGGTAATAAATGTATTACACCTTGAGTAGTTATGGAACTTGGTACAGTTTCCATTATCTTTATTTGTTCTACTAGAAGTTATTTTGTTTCAGTTTGTATTAAATACAAGTATTGCTCTTCAGAGTGACAGTGAAAATCATCCAGTGGTATACAAGCTATGTTGTAAAGAATATATGTTACTCTTAAAAAAAAAAAAAAAAGCAGTGGAGCTCATGATAAAATAAATTTTGGAAATACTACAGATTGTATATTCCCTTTGGAGTGCTCAGTGCATATTAGCACTTTAAAGGCTATAATAAAGAAACCTGTTTCCCATCATCTCCCAAATTTACTTGACAATGAGGTATTTTTCAAGGAATTTCTTTTAACATCTCAAGGCATTATGATTCATCAGAACTCAGTTTAATTAAATGCTAATGTAGACTAAGAAATAAGCTGCTTTGGCATATCCTAGATAGCCTGTCATTGGCTGAGTGTGTTTTATTGCCAGAACAACTTAAGGATCATCTTCAAAAGTATGCCAGATACTTAACTTAATAGTAAATATGCTAACCTTTAAATGGTGCCAATACATATTTTATTTCTCTTTTGCCACTATTTCATTTTAAATATGTTATGCTTCTAAACACACTTTGGTTAAGTTAGATATATTTGCATGTTTTTTATTCTTACTGTTTTAGATATGGGAGAAGGGACTACTATCAATGCAAGTACAGATGGCAACATTGGAACTATAGAAGATGGTAGTGACAGTGAAAATATTCAAGCAAATGGAATTCCAGGAACACCAATTTCTGTTGCATATACACCATCCTTACCTGATGACAGATTATCTGTTTCTTCCAATGATACTCAGGTATAAGTGGGTTTAAGTGGGTGGGGACAGATTTATGTCCACCAACATCTTTTTGTAAATCCGGTTTATGATTCTGGCTGATTTCAGTTTGTGGAAGTAAAGAACTCCCCCACCCGCCTTCACTGATATAAATTAGTGCAATTTATTCCCTTCATATATTGATACCTGCATTTCCAGCTAAGGTGTATCTCATCTATGTTCACATCCTCCCCACTTTTCCACTTTGAACTGCCATTTTAAGAGAACATTCTTACCACATATTTTACAGGATAATGATAGTATAAGACAACAACATTTAGAAATTTAGGGAACTTCATCTTGACTTTTGTTTAGGACTACAAAGAAATCAGTACTGTGGTAATCACAGGAGTTCTTTATTCTTTCTCTGTACTTTATGGTCTTATCTGTATCTTTTAACATAAAGTCTTCTAGAAGGCCTTTTGGATAGGTATTTTGTCCATGGTTTGTGCTAATTTTTTGTCAATAACAGTATGAGATGGGTAAATTTTAAGAATTTATTTGGTGACAAGGAAGGACTATTTTAAAAGAATGCATTTTAAAGGTGTTATTATTATTGTGTATGAGAATGGCATATAAGATTTAAGAAAACCACTGTGGCAAATTAGTCATTCAGTTCCTCTTCCAATAGATGGGGTGGGGAGTATTCCACCTATTAGTTAATTGAGTAAAATATACTAGAAGGCTGAAATTATTTTACCCTGGAAAATATATTTATTTTCATGGTATATTAACTTGTTTAGGAATCTGGAAATTCTTCAGGACCTTCACCTGGTGCTAAGTTTTCCCACATTTTACAAAAGGATGCCTTTCTAGTATTCAGGTCATTGTGTAAACTATCAATGAAACCACTGTCAGATGGACCACCAGATCCAAAGTAAGTCATAGCTGTTTTGCTAAGAAATAGACATTTTTCAGCTTGAAACTTACTGTTAAGAGTTTGAATTTTCTTTTGCTCTTCTTGTGCCATACTTTAAAATGTTGGGGAGAGGTATTTTATTTTTTTAAAAATTGTTGCTGGGCATGGTGACATACCCCTGTAATTCAAGCACCCACAGAGGCTGAAGTGGGAGGATCACACATTTTAGTCACACCTGGGTAACTTAGCAAGACTCTGTCTCAAAAAAAAACCCTAAAAATGAGCTGGGAATGTAGCCCAGTGGTAGAGTATCCCTGGGTACAATCCACCAGTATTGCGAAAAAAGAAAAAAAAAAGGCATTTTTGTGGTTTTCTCCTGCCTTGATGGCTTCTAATTGCTGTGTACAGTATGGTCTGAGTTAGAGGACTTCTGATTATTAACAAACTGTGTAACTTCTCAGAGAAGTCCTTATAAATCAACCTAACATTTTTAAGAAAAAAATGTGATATTGAAAAACAGTTCCAAAGTTGCTGGAGTAGATACCTTACACTATTTCCCAAAATGACAGGACAGCATGATAAATAGTGCCCAATACATAGTAGGTGCTCAGTAAACATTACTGAATGAATAAATAAATGTAAAATTTTATTTCTGTATTATAAGTAACTTCAGAGTCAGTTGTAGCCCCTTCTCAATTCATGCTAGGCTTCTAAAAACTATGAGCCAAAAATGTAATAAAGCTTAAAGGAAATAAATCTTAAAAGTCATAATGAAAGGCAATATGTATGCATTAAGGCCTGACAGAATGCTGAAGGAGACACCTTTCTCTGTTGGGAGATAGGCATCATTTGTCTAATTCCCATCAAATACCATGTGTGATTAAAAAAAATACAGTGAATGTTAACATTTTAAAAATAACTACAATAAAGACATTGCCATTAAGCTCTCTCCCTGCCAACACACTTAGCATATCATTCTTGCCACTTTCTGAAGCAGTTCTGGAAGTCCACTTTCATTAGTGTCTGTAGTTGTGCCATCATGGCTACCTAGATGTTCCAAATCGATTGAAAACATTTACCATTCCTGGTGATTTTGACTTTGACAAAGAGCCAGAAGATTCACAGTGCCAGACCTGGTGTGAATAAGGTAGATGAAGGCACAACTTAATATTTTTATAAACCTGCATTTTCATCAGATGGCAGTTGGCAGCAGCCTTCACTGTATTTTTTTATCACATCTCATAAAAACACTTGTGAAAGAGGACTTCCAGAACTGCTTCAGAAAGTGACAAGAATGATGAAATAAATGTGCTCAAAGTGAGGGGGAGTATTTTGAAGGGGACTAATGACCACATGTCTTTCATTGTAATCATTTTTTTTATTTAGACACCACATCTTTTGATCAGCCCTTGTATTTTAGTTTAAACCCTAAGGAAGTGTCATTTCTGTGAGTCATAAAAAGTTGTTTTTCAAGTGTAACTAATTACTGCTTGCAGTTAAACTCTGGAGTTTTAAGAGTGGCCTGCCTCTCTAATGTTGCAGTAAAATGTAATATAACATGACAACTTTAGGAGAACTTCCTGGAGAAAGAATCCTTGGAGAGAGTAACTTTAAGAAAAGGATATTGAGATGGGGGAGATGTAAGCAACACTGCTTCAGTTTTTAAAAACTACAGTGTTAACTGTGCGTGATGGTACATTCCTATAATCCCAGTACTCTGGGAGGCTGAGGTAGGAGGATCATAGATCATAAATTTGAGTCCAATCTGGACAATTTAGCAATTTGGTGAGGTTTTGTCTTGAAATTAAAAAAGAACAAATGGCTGAATATGTAGCTCAAAGGTCCAATCCCCAGTACCACAAGGAACGGGGATTATTTTGAGGAAAAATGTAAATTAGTTAATCCTCATACTTAGTGGGTTTAAACCAAGTATTAGGGAAATTTATTTTAAGGCCTTCTTAACTTGCCAGTCAGGATTTCGTTTTGTTTTGTTTTGTTTTGTTTTGGTACCAAGGATCGAACTCAGGACCTTGGGCTTTGCGAGGCAGGCGGTGGAACCACTGAGCTAAGTCCCCGGCCGCAGTCAGGGTTATTAAACTATTGGAAAGGCTGAAAGAGGTAAAATTTTAGGAGCTGTTCTTTTTCCAAAAGAAAAAAAATTTTTTTTAAATCTTGAATTTTGGGGGGGGGG